GCAGGTAAATGGCCAGCACAGAAATAAACAAATGGCAGCTGTGCTGCTGGGAATTCATTCAGCACCACGTAGTACTGTGCAAAGGTAGTGGCGCACTAATAGCTCTCTTAGCAACCAGTACCGACATGGGGAGATCTTGTAAACAAATATGGAAATCCAGAAACTGGACTTGACCCTCCCTGACCCCTTCCGTGCAAATACCGTACAGTCAGCCCTCCACTTTTGCTGGGCTTAATGGCACAGGACACCCGTGAAAGTTAAAAACCATAAAAAAGAATGTGCTCTTTGTAAAAACCAGAGATAAGATCTGTTTAGGAATTTCTAAGTTTTCCAACATCACTCTATACTCAACTTCCACTAGAAGCTGACCATAGAATCAGTAGAGCTTGCATGGGCAAACTTTGGCCCTCCATGTGTTTTGTACTCCAACTCCCACAATTCCTAACAGCGGCTGTGAGGAATTGTGGGAGTTGGTGTCCAAAACACCTGGAGGATCCAAGTTTTCTCATGCCTACTCTAGAGGACCTATAGCAGTGGTTCTTAACTTGTGGGCTGCGGACCATCAGTGGGCCGTAAGAACGAAAATCTGGTCTATGAGCCTTTTTCCTCTTTATTTATTTATTTTATTTTATTTCCACCACCTACCACTACTTCCTTGTCCCTGACCATGGCATATGTTCTGTATCAGAAACTAGAGCTGATGTGGTCTATCCAATGTAATTTTCTGAATCAGCACCCCAAACAAAATCTGAAGTCTACCAAAAACTGATTTGTAACTCTTTTGGTACTAATGTTAGAGAGTGGTCCCTGGTCAAAGTGGTCCCTGGTCAAAGAGGTCCCTGGTCAAAGAGGCCCGTGGTCAAAATGGCCCCGGTCAAAAAAAGTCCCTTGTTAAAAGGGTCCCTGGTCAAAGAGGTCCTTTGTCAAAGAGGTTCCTGATCAAAGTGGTCCCTGGTTCAAGTGGTCCCTGGTCAAAGATGTCCCTGGTTCAAGTGTTCCCTGATCAAAGTGGTCCCTGGTCAAAATGGTCCCTGGTCAAGGTGGTCCCTGGTCAAAGTGGTCCCTGGTCAAAGTGGTCCCTGGCCAAAGTGGTCCCTGGTCAAAATGGTCCCTGGTCAAGGTGGGGTGGTCCCTGGTCAAAGTGGTCTCTGGTCAAAGTAGTCCCTCGTCAAAGTGGTTCTTCGTCAAAGTGGTCCCTGGTTTAAAAAAAAAAGGCTGGGAACCTAGAGATTCCTAGAGATAACGTTCCCAACAGTCCTCACAACCTCTGAAGATGCCTGCTATAGATGTGAGTGAAACGTCACGAGAGAATGCATCGGGAACATGGCTATACAGCCCAGAAAACTCACAGGAACTTATTGATTCTGGCCATGAAAGCCTTCAACAACACATTGATAATGTTTTTAATCAAATCTGCAAATAATCAAATCTGCAAAAACCAAAACATGTAGTCTATTGGGAGAGAGATCAAGCTCAAGATTTGAAGTGATAGCTTGCAGGAGAGTTTTAAAATTAGTAGATTTGTTTTTAGGTATTAATTTCTTTTTCAAGCCATGGATGATCAATACAAGGGGAAAAACTGGCAAGAATACCTTTGCAGAAGGTGTCAATTCTATAGAATAGCACATTATGCTGGAGTAAGATTTACCAACAGCTCGGATTTAAAAGAAGCAGAATGCACCATTCATATATATGAATAATGCATTCTGCTTCTTTTAAATGAGAGCTGTTGGTGAACCTTAATGCATTATATATATAATATTATTATTCAGATAGCAAAATACTCCAGCGTATAAGATGGGGGTGCAGGGAGCTATAGTCCAGACTTAATTCTTCTGAGCCCTGTGCCAAAAATTCCGCAGCTTTAATCATCAGAGGTGGATGACAAAGCATTTCTCTTCGCTGTCCTTTTTATCCTGTTTTGGATCTTTGCTTTCGAAACATTGCCTCTGGTGCAGGCCCTCGCTGATTTCCAAAACTGTTTCTCTTCTTGGTCTTGATAAATATGCAGCCTTGCTGCCAAACCTCCAGAATATCCTTGGCAGGGGCGCACAATAGCAACTGTGAACACAACATACACTGTGATCTATTGTCAAAAAAGGTCACAGAGCCCAAGCAGAAGAGAAATGGGCAAAGAGGCGAGCTGTTTTTGCAAATGTATTTGAAACACCACCACCTTCTTTCGGATGAGAATGATTGTTTTAAGAAGACAGCTTGGGGCAAATTAACTTTTACGAATGGATGGGAATGTAAAGTCACACCCTTCTGGATGAGTAAATGTAAAAGAGCAAACCTTCACACTGTGGTTCTGCTGTTTTTGCTTTACGGCAACTCTACCAAAGGGTTTTCCAGGACTGAATGGGGATTTGAGCTTTGGGTACATCTATTACATAACCCAACAATATACACACACACACACACACATCGAGGTATCTTGGTTTTTAGGCATGTTCCCGGTGTTATTTGTGTGCAGGTGCTTACCTACAAAGCTCTAAACGGTTTGGGACCCGCCTACCTGCGTGAC